AAGAGCTGATGTTCTAGTTCCGAGACCTATAGCAGGTAACGTATTAGAGATGATGTTTTTGTTTCAAGACCTACAGCAGGTAACTTATTAGAGATGATGTTTTTGTTTCAAGACCTACAGCAGGTAACTAATGAAAGTCGATGTTTTCGTTCCAAGACCTACTGCAGGTAACTAATGAGAGCTGATGTTCTAGTTCCAAGACCTACAGATAGAGTTTAACTCTGAAATAACACAGATGGAAATTTTAGAAACCTATTTCGAAGTTCTCTTTCCCAGCTACGATCGATAAGTTAGCTAGACATTTTAGGTACAAAAAAGTTTATCCGCACTCATAAGTACAGAGTGTACAGTTTGTCATGGTTTTTTTAATATCTGTAATCTCAGTAAGGGTGGTAGTTGGATTATCTTTTATAGTTGATTACCACACGATATTTTTGTACACAGTATACTCCTTAGGTACATATATATATTGAATGTTTTCATCTGTATAAGTCTAAACTAGATGAAATTCTTTAAAGCTTTGAATATATGTAACAGACGTAAGTAACTGTAAGACTATACATAAGACCAGTATATTTTAATGTGTAATAGATGTAAGTTACTGTAAAACTATACATAAAACCGGTACATTTTAATGTGTAATAGATGTAAGTTACTCTAAGACTGTACATAAAACCAGTACAATTTACAGTATTGTAAGACTTCGAAGAACATCAATGAATGTAAATTACTATATGAAGTTTAATGCACTAAAATATCTGTAAAACTATCTGATTGTAGTAAAGGTAAAATTATTTGTAAATTTGTGTAACCAAATTAAAGCTGAGTACTGTATATACAGTTGTACTTAAGCCTAGTAAATGCAAGGTACTGTGGGGCTATGTTTGATAAGAGTAATATACCCTAAAGCTCTGTATAATCTCCGTAGAATTAATGCATGTAAAACTATGTATATGAGCAGTGGACGTATATAGGGTGATATAAGACTTTTTACAATAAAAATAATAGAGGTTAGGCACTTGACGGTTTTGATATTCGAAATGAGGTAAAGTACAAAACATCAGTAGAAAAAAGGTTCTGCAAGACACCGTATAACAGCACTAGATATAATATAGGACGTGTATCGTCACTACAGTGGTTAGAAAAGTCCAGCAACTGAGAACTCTTTCGTTAGGAGATAAAGCAATGTAAAAAAACAACAACAAAAAACAAACAAAAACATTTTGGAAAGCACTGCACTCAAATATTTGAGTCTTTTATACATTTCTTATAGTTAGTAGAAGTGGAGTATTATTAAGGTATTGTGTAATGTTAGCAAAAATAAGGTTCTGTAAATCTAAGTATTATAGTAATGAAGATAGGACACCGTATAATAGTAGTAAGACTTTTATAAAACACTTATAGACGTAAGGCACAATAATGCTTCGTTCAACAATATTGTAAGGTAATGTAAGGCACAATAACGCTATGTTCAACAATATTGTAAGGTAATGTAAGACACAATAACGTTATGTTCAACAATATTGTAAGGTAATGTAAGGCACAATAACGCTATGTTCAACAATATTGTAAGGTAATGTAAGGCAAAATAACGTTATGTTCAACAACATTGTAAGGTAATGTAAGGCACAATAACGCTATGTTCAACAATATTGTAAGGTAATGTAAGACACAATAACGTTATGTTCAACAATATTGTAAGGTAATGTAAGGCACAATAACGTTATGTTCAACAATATTGTAAGGTAATGTAAGGCACAATAACGTTATGTTCAACAATATTGTAAGGTAATGTAAGGCACAATAACGCTATGTTCAACAATATTGTAAGGTAATGTAAGGCACCTTACATCACTATAGATGAAGTAAGGTTATGTAATACTAGTAGAACAAGGATAATATAAGAATCTAAAACATTTTATCAATAATTAAATCAAAAAATAGTTTTAAGATTTGTTTGAACTTACTTGTTAACTGCCTAAGATAGCAACAAGTTTATCAGCTACTCCTATAAAATACATGGGTTTTTTAAAGATAAAGTACGGTTAATGTGTATTTAACTCATTTTTAATATCTTAACTCGAATGATCTTATACTTTTATGTATGCTTACAGGTTATTCATATTTTAGGGTTTTGCGAATCTATTTCCATTTTCAACGTTAGTGTTGATTTTTTCTTTGATTTTACACACTTAAAACAAATAGCAATTATATTTATTAATGCGTCTATCCATACAAATAATAACATAAAATTTCTTTGGTCTGATGTTGGAACAATAAGCTATAGAGAGACAAATTACCCTTGTTTCACTGGTATCAAATGGCTAGACGTATTAATGCGTCTATCCATATAAATAATAACATAAATTTTCTTTGGTTTGATTCTACAAACAAAGCTGCAATGTTGGAACAATAAGTTATAGAGAGACAAATTACACTTGTTTCTCTGGTATCAAATGGCTAGACGTATTAATGCGTCTATCCATATAAATAATAACATAAATTTTCTTTGGTTTGGTTCTACAAACAAAGCTGCGATGTTGGAACAACAAGCTATAGAGAGACAAATTACCCTTGTTTCTCTGGTGTCAGATGACTTGACTGTTAGGACTAGAAACAAATGTAAACGTAAGTACTTGTTTGTTCAGTGTATTGATAGAAGTGTAATGCCACAATTTGTATAATCATTTCCAATTTTTAGACGTTACGAATACTTTCAAACGTACATTAATTTATTACGAAAAGTAATAAATAGAAAATAAGTTTTACATATGCTTAGTTATTGAAAAGAATATTTTAGACACTTTTTTAATGTTGAAAATTAAATGTGTTATTGTCATGTTAGTGTTTTGCATAAAATCGCTCTGAAAGCGGAACAAAATATTTTAAACTGAGTCTTTAACAGACGCATGAAAATTATATGTGGCATATATATATTTTCTCTTTTAGGAAATAAAAGCTTAAAATAAACTTAATTTGTTGAATTTCTTTCTATTTTGAGGCTAAATATTTTATATTTTTATATTTGCCTCTAGCGTAGTTGGTGCCAATATTATATATTTATATAAGTACGAAATCCATAGACAAATCATTAAGAGTTGTTGTTGATTTTCTGTGCAAAGCTACACATCAGCTATCTGGACTCTGTCCATCGCGGGAAGCCGAACCACGGATTCAAGTCTGTAAACTTACCGTTGACCCTCAGGGTGGGTCTCATTAAGTGAAATTATTTTTTTGACAAACCTTAAAAACACATTCAAAGATGTCGTATTACATGACGCAAAATGACGTTTAGCTAAAAAATTTACAGTATTTTGGGTACTGAACTAACTATTAAATTTATTACTAAGATAAAAAAATAAACAAACGTTTTAAAGGTGCAACATAATGGAAACAGTTTTGTTTTAACAAAGGTGTTATATATAATTAGCTGAATGATGTTTAGTTTGTGGTATTCTTAAAAACAAAGTCATGATTCTGTTTCATTGGAAATTAGTTTGGATCCAAATGATTGATGAAACACACTTTTAACTTGAAAATACTTCCTAAAATACTTTCGTTATCCGAAGACATAACAACTATTGTTAAAACAATTTGTTTTTACAAAAAACGCCTTTCATCACGAATGAATACTAATAATATAATTCACACACACAGAAATATTTATATACATATTTTAAATATATATATATTATTTTTTATTAACATTGCAACCATACACAAGGATATAATATATTTCTACCAGTAATACCGGTGTTATAAATGTTAAATAATAATAACATAAATCAAATAAAATGAATAAAAAATATCATACATTGACAATAAGTATGATTATCACAGTTAATCAAAGTGAACATTGTTGTAGAAGGTCGTTGGTTGACCTCCAAGTTTAAAACTAAATACAATAATTATAGTCTTCAGTGTGCAGTCACACATAAACTTACATTTTGTTGGAATATATGAGAAAATAAAACATATAGATTTATAATATCTTAGCAAATCGCATAATTCTTCATCATTTACTTATACGACAACTTGGATCAATTAAACTAATTTATTCATAATGATGAACAGTTGACATAATTTTACACAAATTAAATATTATTTTCTCTGTTTTATATGAAACTTAAAGTAATGCTCACGTATTTGTTGATTTTCTATCGAAAAAAGATAAACTAGAGAACAAGTTTAAAACACACGAAGTTTTATCTTGAATTTATTCAGTATTTTTGGATTTTATTTGAAGAGTTAAAAATTTTACACTTTCTGACAACAAGACTGAGGTTTAAAGAAATGTACTCACTATTGGTAGAAAAAATAAAATAAAACACAACTACAACAACAAACGTCCATATCAAGAAATCAAATCTTGTCACCAAATAAGCAGGTCTTTAGAGAATTTAATGGAAGGTATTATGTGGCCAGAACAAAATGTCATTGAGAAGCAAATCTATATATATTCAGAAGAAATCATATCACTTTTAATAGACAACATATTGTTCATGACACATTCTAGATATGAAAAACTTGGAATACGAAAAATATGATTTTCTGTTTTTTTACAGATAAATTAGAAATGTCATGCAGTCCTAAAAGAAAAATAACGTGTTTCATTTACGTTTCAATAAATTTACTTTGTTTTTTTTAAAATCAGCATGTACGTGAAATTCATTTTAATGTCGACCGAAAGTTACTTTTATGAGTTAAAAAAATCTAAGCTAATTTCCTTTCTCTGGTGTTCACATTTTAATAATATTTTCTCAACGAAATTTAAAGTTTGTGAATGTCAATCAACTGTATTGACAATGTTATTTATTTATTAAATCCACTAGGAGTACAATCATGATATATCAAGTTATTTTTAACACACACACACACACACACACACATATACATATATATATGAAATAATGTTTCCTGGTATGATAAAGCAGTCTAAAAACGAAAGAAACGTTTATTAGACGCATTTTATCAAGTACAAAATGTATACATTTCTTATTTTATAACATGTTTTTGGTTATAAAACTTCCTAAGTTCTTTAAAAGACGTTTAAGTGTATTATCACAATAGTGGATCTTTAGCTGCTTGATCATCACACTACTTAACCCTGAAACACTTATCCAAACCCTCACTGGAACTAGAATCCTCCTCTCCAGTGGCCACGAAGATCTAAGATCCATTAGAATATCTCTTCTAAAACTCCAGTGATTTCCAGCTCCACTAAGCTCTGGAGCCAATCTAGAGTCTAGTTGAAGAGTGGAGAGCTGTTTGTGAATTTCTTCCATTTCATCCTTGTTTAGCTTCAAGTGGTAGCCAGTGTGGGCTTCGTTTAACTCGCGCAGATCTGGAAGCTTCAAAAACAGCTTAGGGTAAAGGACAGTCGTGTGGTCAGGCCCATAGCGCCACAGCATATAGTTCTTTAATAAAATATAATATTTCTCCTGTTGTTCTGTGACTAGGTCTACATTCTCCAGGTTAGAGCGATCTGGAGACAGAAGAACTGTTACAAGAAGTAACATTATCGTTGGTTCATCAGGACTCAGCTCTTTAATTCCTTCATTAAATCTCATGTGTTTCTCAAATAGTGTGGGTGAGACTAGCTTCATGATGTCTTCAGCTTTCAACGTGGGCGCGTCTCTGTATAACACTTTCTTACGATCTGGCCAACAGCCACGCTTGTTATCAAACACATAGGCGCCACGAAGAAAACACATCTCCATTACGCCACTCCGCAGCAGTACTTCCTGGTCTCTTTGTGGAATGTAGGAGAAACATTCAAGACTTTGCGCGAAATGAGAAAACTGTTTTATCACAGTGAAAAACATGTCAAGAATTTCTGTTCGACTTCTCTCACGTGTCTGAAGCGTCAGTTTATTAGTAAACGTAATAGTTTGATAACTAATTTCGTAAGAATTAATTATAGTTTCTATATTTTGCACATCATCTTCAGTTAGGTATTTTCCCAATTCGCTAATATCTGGATCATGACCGCACACATTCATTTTCTGTCGGGGTTTCGCAGACTGAGATATACCTTGTTGCTGTTTTCTCTCCATTCGACTACGTAACAAATTCTGTCTTTCCTCCTCCGTCATCACCCACCCTTTCTCCATACCGATTGACAAGCATTTCTGAAAGCGACAGTACTGGCAACATTTGCGGGAAGTAATATTAATTTCACATTTTTTTCCGTATGGACAGTGAAAGTTCCTGTACCCTTCGTTCTGGACGGAGCGTCGGAAAAAGGCCTTACAGCTATCACAGGAAATACCACCGAAATGATAACTTTTGGCCCGGTCCCCGCAAACGCCACATGCTTTCTGTTGTCTCTTGAACAAACGATTTCTATGTTCCACGGGTAGCCTAATGCTGCTGCTACCATTTGGAGACAGGCTCATTCCTGCAAGAGAAGAGATCCTAAAATCAAGCACAAAGCTCGTTATTGTTGCTCTAAGACAACTGGAACAACAAAAGTATTAACACGGAATTATTAAGCTAGAAATATCTAATATCTTTGTTACTCACTTTAGTACTTAATGTTTTGAAATACTATTCAATTTGAAATCAGAGTAAATTACTTTTCACCAATATGCAAGCAAAAATAATAATAATAATTGAAATGGACGCTGTAGAAGAATAAGATAAAGATAAAAGTTTTATATACTATAATTATTCAATTTTCTTCTCAAATATACTTATTATGTAAAAATTTTATGGTAGTTTCTTATTTCAAAATCCAATGAATATTCCATGTGCTACAATTTTTAAATGGACAACTTGGTTTCCGAAGCGAAGAGCCCAAAACTAATGACTTACACAAATTGAAGCAAAAGTAAGCAAGCAGAATAAAACAAAGATACTAAGAGCCAATGAGTCCGTAATTGATTTATTTAAAGCCATAGGGGTAATTTACAATCAATTTTGACCGAATTTAACTTTAGAAAATGGGGTTTTTTACTCAGGATATGAAAGTGCCGGATGTTTATGATAAATATTCATTTCAATAGAACTTATTTATTTTAAACATATCTAGGCTTCCTTTCGTTCCAGATATATTCAAAGTTATTGTCTCGAAAGTGGAATGTTCTCGAAAACATAGAAAGTTTCTATGGTCCTTTGGTAAGTTAATGTTAATGTGATTAATAACTATGATTAAATGCGTAAATACAGCAAAAACCCAGGAAAAACAACAACGATATTTAAGAGTATTTTGAAATACGTGTGTGTACGTCAGTGTCAACTTCTGCTAGCTGTGAAAATTTTTAAAACTGGCTGTAACAATACAATTTTGCTGAATCTCGTAATATTTGTTCAAAGTAATCTTATCCCTTATCTTGTTTGATTTCCCTCTATACTGAATGTTAGAAGTCAATGGAACTACAATGGTAAAACTTTAATAACTGTCCATAAACCGAGTTGACGAAAAAAAAATTATTTGGTTCAAGAGTCCTGTAAAAAAATTAATGGAGAACTCAAACTTGTGACGCTCGATAACCAATAACTTTATTAAACATCTGTTCAGCAATTATAATTACGAGTTCGAACTCTACTTAATTTTGAAACATTAAAGAATAGTGTATCGCCATTAAATATTTATATATACATATGTTTATAAGTACGTCTTATCTCTTCGGTAATGGTTTGTATAACTCTGTAATAGTGTTCCACGATTAGCAAATATAAACATATGTTAACCACGTCTGATAAAATATTTTTCTGATAATTGTTAGTGTTTTGAATATAGTTATTCCTACTTAAAATTGATTGGCTAATGTCAGAATGTGTTGTAATAGTGTGAGTATTTTTTCTGATGAAAGTTTTATGACAATTTTGTTATTTTTATAGCTAATTTCCTGATAACGAAACTGATAGGCTAGAAATCTCTTTAATCACGATACAGGAACGAAAGGACTTTAATATACCGTGCGTGTAGTTGTTTTAAGAATTTCTAATTACCTTCATGTACACGTTATTAGTGAACAGTCTTGAATGGTATCTTTTGACGTCTTAAAAATATTGTTACACCTCCGTTCGTTAATTTTCCGTAAAAATTCTTTCCGAAAAAACTTTACCGATACAAGTCCTGTCTTAAATAAAACTGGTTTATTCATTCTGATTACAACTTTGCGATACACTTAATTTCCACAGTCGCGCTATAACAAACGCTATAATTCACAACGAACGTCTCGCGTGCTCAACAATACTTCTCTCTCTGTCCGCAGTTCAATTACACATTGTTGCCGTCAGTTCTTACCGGTTTAAATATACAAGATTACCGCATATCTAGTAGGTTCTCGATATTTCAGGAAGGGACGTGAACGTTCGAGAAGTGCATGACGTGTTACTAGCGTCACGTGACCTCCGCTGTTGTAACAATATAAATGCAAACCAACAAGAAAATTACTTTTAGTAAATTTCGTCCCAATTAAATACATACCCTTAATGTCTTAGAGCTTTGGCTGTTTTAATATCCAAGCATCATGTCTGACTGTCCTATTATGCCCTACCGAAAACAAAGAGAAAGCTCCTATTTAATCTTGCCTAGATTTAACCCTATGAGCAATGATCTATAACAACCGATACATTTAGAGATAGGCAAATGATTGATGATTTTAAGTCACTAAGTCAAGTTTCCTTCTTTGGATGAGCTACGTGCTCAGCATGATCCAAAATTGCATTTTATTTTCAATAAGGGTTAACTTTACCAATATGTACAAAAATGACATTAACTTTTAACTTTATTGCATGCTGCATAACTTATTGAGATCTTTCTAAATACGGTAATACAATGAAGACGTTAGTTTGGTTTCTTGTATTCTCATAACATTGTAAACACAAGTAATAAATTTCTAAGTAGTGCTACTTTTGATCAGTTTATAGGAACTTAAGCATAACAAAGCATAGCTCACGCTTCGTTTTACCCTCAATGATATGTATGACACTAAACATAGTCCAAAATATCTACTTAGTAACAAAAAATTCCAAATGAAACTTGACACTAGAGTGCTTATAATGCTAAACTGTATGAATACAAGAAAATTGAGTTTAAATTCGTCGGATTTACTATACATTCTTCAATATCAATGCATGCAACTTTAAAAAAACGTCCTAATGTTAGGCAGTAACGTTCTCTAAGACGTTAAAAGCTCAATACTTCAGTAATTTTATAGCAAAGAAAACCAACGTCTGAGTTTGCATCACAATGGCTCATGTTAGCATGAAACGAAATGTCTGTAGTTACAAAATTTAGTTTTTAGCAAAGTGCATTTTCAATCTAACACTCTAGTTAAGCGCCAACTTAGGACAGAACTGACTATCTGTACTGTGCCCATCGTAGGTATCGAACTCTGATTAATGTTTTAAGCCCGAAAACTTACCCTTGAGCCACAAAGGTTCAAATAATTATCAAATTGATGTAGGATGACGATGTTATTCACTTTGTATTTGAAAACAACTCCCCGAACACTTTTGATATAAATATGACCTATATTTTATAAAACAAATTAGCGTATAGCCCATCAGAAATAACGGGGCAAGTACTACCACCCCCATCTCTACCCCATAGTATACCATCTAACCTCACATTTCATAGGTAACTGAAATAAAGCGAAATAAAGCTTGACCAACAAAGAGGCAGAAAAATGCAGTTGAGGCAGCCAAACGTCGGTAAATCTCTTTGTGAGCCAATGAAAATTAATATCATTCACGAAATGAATTCGTGGCGTATTCGTAAAATAATTATTGGTAAAAATCAGTTAGATTAACAATTTATAATATATAAAAAAGCCAGTGCGTTTTGGTAACACTAGGTTCCAACAATGGCTTTTATGTCATGTTGCTCAGCAACAAAAGTATAACCTAATTTTGTACAAAATGAAATGTATAGGCAACAAAACTGGAAAAATATTTGTTGATTTCTTAATTTAGAGTATCCATTGATTTAAGAGGTTTATTGTTTGTTTTATTAAAAACGTTGGTGATATAACAGAAAACAGCTTAATTCAGAAATTATTAACTTTAAAATTTAATCGATATTTTTACTTTCATGGTAAAAATTTACGGCACTTGGCTCTAGGCTAGGTGATCCCACATGTCTTTACTTCAGACTTGTTACACTAACACCCACTACACCGTGCACCCCCATCATTAAAATCGTAATGGGCAGACAGTAATCGAACTATTCTATTTGGAAAAATGCATTTTGGTTTTATGACTCCCCCTGTTTCGAGAAATCAAGCATGACGTGACGTGACACACACTGAATTTTATATAGGTTATATATTTGATAGAAAGTCTATGCCTATCAAAAACAGATAATAAATAACATTTTCCAACGGAAATGCTCTTTCTTTTATTTATAATACCAGCACCTCTCTCTCGGTTTCACGGAAATAAGCCATGTCATGCTTTCGTTGTTAGTTCCTAGTTAGAAGACAAGAACTTATCCCAAGATAATAGTTAGTCTTACTTAGACGACAGTAATCTATTACAGAAATGCGGCTTAATGCTTTCACTGCTGGTTCTGTAAATGTACGGATTTACAATGCACAAATCCGGAGTTCGATTCTCCGCGGTGGACATAGTAGATTGTTCAATGTGACTTTGCTCTAAAACAAACAAATTCTCACTTAGAACACAATAATCTGTTACAGAAATACGGCTTATTGCTTTGACAGCTGGTTCTTACTTAGACGGCAAGAATCTATAACTCAGGGAATGCTACTTAGAATGAAGACGATAATACATAAATGAAACATATCTTGTAATGTTAGGACTATGATAATCCAATAATTATTGAAGAGATTTATTTGAATACCACTAAAATCATTAATATTTTATTCACAAAGTTCCTAGATTTAGATCTTTCGCAAAGGATGTTTAGTTGACAGGCCAATGAAAATTTATAAATTACAGAGATGTCATTTATGTGTTAAAGCAAAGTAAAGGTTCCTATATTCGATGACGAGGAACCCACTTTGAGACTAATAATGGCTGGAGACGGCTTAAATGGGTAATGAAGAAAAACTTTAATATAAGTTTAACATGACAGCAAATGTTCCTATATTTGTGAGTGTGGTTTTCGTCATGTATTCTTCAACTTAATAATGTATCAATCTTATTAAAGCTCTATTCAGCTCAAATTGTCATCAAATCTAAATTATTGATACCAACAACTTAGAGAATGACTAGTTAAATAAACCTGTTATTTCACTGAAACATTTGAGATTTTTCATTTTTTACAGGTTTCTAATGTTCGTTAATGTGATTTTCAAGTGTTTACCAATCTCACCTGTGTAGTTAAAGTGAACTAATATTTGGCAGAAGTAGTTACAGTTTTCAAAAACAGTGTGATTTGGTTTGAATTTCGCAAAAAGCTACACGAGGGTTATCTGCGCTAGCCGTCTCAATTTAGCAGTGAAAGACTAGAAGGAAGGCAGCTAGTCATCACCAACCACCACCTACTCTTGGGCTATTATTTTACCAACGAATAGTGGGATTCACTGTCATATTATAACGCTCCCACGGCCAAAAGAGCGATAATGTTTGGCGGGACGGGGATTCGAACCCGCGAACCTCAGATTGAGAGTCAAGGGCTCTAACCATCTAGCCATGCCGGGCCAAAACCAGTGTGAGAGTGGCTCATTCCGTACAGTTTTACCAACATATAATCAACTTTCAACTAGCTCAATAGCTAGAGGATTTGTAGTAAATATCACAAACTAGCCCAATTATAGGAAACAAGTGTCCTTTTGTAGAAAAATAAATAAATAAATCGTAAGCTCTCTGTGAGCACGAAAAAATCAAGAAAGTGGTTCTAATATGTCTGTAGACAAGTAGAATAATACTAGGTATAAGATGAGAATCTACCACGAACATATAACTTGTTATGTGAGGCATTATCTTCTTATTTAAAAATGCGAAAATATTTTCCATAAATGATGCACATTTGCGTGAAGTTTATGTCAGAGCAGCTGACTTTCGTCTGAAACAGGTGAAATCACTTACTGTAATTGAATACATTTTCAACGTACGATAGGTAGCGTTATTTTCATTTTTGGATAGTTTGTTTGAAGTTAAGCACAA